ATTGTGATTGCAGCCCACTGCTCTGTCTGCGCCTCCCTCACCTGCCAGCTGGGGATCCCAGGGCCCCAGGAGGTGGCAGGACACTTGATGGGGGTGGGGGAGAGGTGTCTGGGTCTCTGGTAACTGTGTGGAACAGGGCCCTTCACTCATATTGGACTGAGAAGGAGTGTAATATACCATATGTGTATTGTTATGGCACTGAAATTCTGGGGTTATTAGCTTATCCTCTCTAATAACACCACATCTGGGCTCAGATACGAATAAAAGAAAGAAACTAAAATCTAAGAAGAGCTCAGAGTCGTTCCCACAAAAGGGCGTGAGGAGACATGGAGCCCCCACTCCTGGAAGGTGTGTGTGTAGGAAGTGGTGCTGCAGTTTAGGTCTGAGAAGCTGGGTCCTGGGGAGGTAGGAACAGGGGGTGGGGAACCAGAAAGGAGAGACCAGAGATGAGTGGCTTTTTAAAAACTTGGCATATGAACCACACTAACCCTCGCACCCTCGTCAGGGAGAAAGGCAGTCGGAGAGAAAGCTCTGGGCCCTGCAGTCCTGGAAAGCTGATGGGGTGTATGTGTGCAGGAGGGTAAGGTGGGGGGGGGGGGTGAGGGGAGGTAAGGGGTGCTTTCCCAGAGAGAACCTGGTGGAGCACTGGGCTGCTCTCGCTAAGCTCTGGGTTCCCGCCAGAGGGGCTCCCTGGGCTAGACTGGGGCTGTCACCCAGGCACCGTGGGCCACATTGAAACCAGCAAGGCCTCACTTCGTGACCAGCTCCTTTCACTGTCACCCTGGGAATTCCAAGCCAGACACACATGCAGAACATCTGTTTTCCATGTTCGTCCTTTGGAGCAGCAGAAGTTTGAGACAGAAGAGGAAAAGCCAGATATGAGATCAGAGTTTGAGAAACCAATCATGTTTCTGTTGTAGTTGCTGAATCTGCTCCTGTAATATTTACTCCTTTGTGATTTTTCAGTGAAATGAATGAGTTAGGCAATTTTTTTTCTTTTTAAAAAAATATATTTTATTGATTTAAAAATATATATATTTTATTGATTTTTTACAGAGAGGAAGAGAGAGGGATAGAGAGTTAGAAACATCGATGAGAGAGAATCATCGATCAGCTGCCTCCTGCACACCCCCTACTGGGGATGTGCCCGCAACCAATGTACATGCCCTTGACTGGAATCGAACCCGGGACCTTTCAGTCCCCAAGTCGACGCTCTATCCATTGAGCCAAACTGGTCTCGGCGGCAATTTCTTTTCTTTTTTAAATTTAACTTCATTGTTGAAAGTATTACAGATGTCCCCTTCTTCTTCCACATGGACTCCTTCCTTCCTACTTTCACCCCTCCCTAGGCCCTTACCACCCTTTTGTGTGTCCATGGGGGACACACACACACACACACACACACACACACACACATATATATATATATATATATATATATATATATATATATACACACACACACACATATTCTTTGGTTGATTTCTTCCCACACATCCCTCCCTTCCCCACCTTCCCTCTGAGATGCAATAGTGTGTTCTATGCGTCCATGTATCTGGATCTTTTTTTGCTTATCAGTTTATTTTGTTCATTAGATTCCACATATGAGTGAGATCAGGTGACACTTGTCTTTCTCTGACTGGCTTATTTTGCTTAGCATAATACTCACCAGGTCCTTCCATGTTGTCTCAAAGTGTAAGAGATCCTTCTTTGTTACAGCCGCATAGTATTCCATGTTGTAAATGTACCAGAGCCTTTTTATCCACTCGTCTGCTAATGGGCACTTGGGCTGTTTCCAGATCTTAGCTATGGTGAAGTGTGCTGCTACTAACATAGGGTGCATGCATTCTTTCTTATTGGTGTTTGGGTTTCTTGGGATACATTTCTAGAAGTGGGATGGCTGGGTCAAATGGCAGTTCCATTTTTGAGAAAAACTCCACTCTGTTTTCCTCCAGCCTAGGACTCCCCCTGAACTATAGACCATTTTACCCACCCATGTGCTGGACATCTCCACTTAAATGTTGGTGGCCACAGATTCAGCATGTCCCCTGCCCCAGTCACACTTCTCTAAACCTGATACTCTTCAGCTCTTCTCCCCGACTTCCCATGAGATGAAGAAGTCAGTCTTAAATGGCACACACTGTTCCCAAATTTCTAAGGGGCCCTGCTTTTCAAAGTGTCAGGATAGAATAGGTTATGCTGCAGTAATAAACTGCCCCCAAAGTTCAGTTTACTCAACACAATAAAAGGTGATTTATCACTCATGCTACATATGCAGTCTGGTGTGCTAGGGGTTTTCTGCCCCTCCATCAGTAGGGCTTCATGAGTGACTGAAGTTTGTTTCTGAAAGAGACAAATGTTGCTTATACTTAACATTTCATTCACCACAAAGTACAATCCCACATGGTAAGTGTGAGAAGAGGTAGATATATTTGTAATATCCCTAATGATTCTCACAGTGCTGCCTCTTAGCCATTAACAGAGTGAGAGACATTGGCCAAGAGCATTTCCTCCTCTGAGACTTTCCTGTCCGCTGGCTCCCTGTGCCCCCAGCTCCCCTTACGTACCCCAACTGTCTCGGCAGGGGCTTCCATCCTGCCCTAGCATCCTTCTGTTATTGTTTCCTTGTGATTTGTCTGTTAGACATACTTTTATGAATGCCACAAATGTTTATTGGATATTGGATGCCTACATCAACAGAAGGCACCTGTCCTTTGTCAGACACTGTCCTAGCTTCTGGGATCAATCACACTTTGACTCTGCCCTCGTGGCATTTCCTGACTGGTCATGAAGACAGAAAAGAAGACAGATACTTTAAATTTAGAGGGTAGAGCTAAGCACAGATACCGTACGTTTAGAGGGGGAGAAGAGACCACCTGATTCTTTTGGGAAGAGGGAGATGGAGAGCAGAAGGAGGAGGTGGGAGACATCCCTCTGCTCCATGTAAACACTGCCCAGCTTCTCCATTTGTCATTCTCTCTGGCTGAGAATAGGGCAGATGATGCCAAATGTGCCAGTGGGTGGGGTCACAAGTAGTGGTTTCAGGGATATCAATGTGTTCTGTTTGGCACACAAGAAATATTTATTAGGCATCCGCTGTAATACTACTTACCTTTGGTGATACTTTATAAATCAGGTTCCCCTGAAAAACCACTGGCTCCTTTTACAGATGAGGGACACTGAGGCATGTGACTTGGGGTCCTTAAAGGTCCAACTGCACAATTTAGATCCCAGGGTCCTGATTCCTCATCCCCGGCACATCCCACTGCACCATCCAGCTGCCACCTTGTTGGAGACCCTGCCTGCCTGATCATCCCGCAGTTGAGCACAGTGTCTCCCCCCCCCCCCCCCCCCCCCGGCTCCTGTGATGGATGTGGTGCAGTCATGCTAATTTCATCACAGCCTCGGTCATGCTTGAGCAGGTGACTCTAGATCTTCCTCTTCTCTGGCTTCCTGTTGGACTAGTAATGAGAATGAGCAGTGCAAGATAAGAGCAACTTTTCCAGGGGGTACCATATATACTCCAGGAGATCACAGCTGCCAAGCGGATGTTCTGCTGACTCACAGCTGCCAGTGAATAGCCAGCTCTGCGTGATGTAACTGCTGGGAGACTCTGCAGGATGTGTTTGTGAAGAAGGGGCCGGATCCTGTGTCTCTCGGCAGAATTCTCTGGTCGGCTGCAACTTGCAGCTGAGGATGGGATGCTGAGTCTCCGGGACCAGCATGTGGACATGTGAAGGCAGGCCAACATTATCATTTTCAGGTTTGAAAAGATTTCTGGTATTCTGCTAGCCTTCTATTGGTTAAATGAGATAATGCATGTAGAACCCTTGGCACATGGTAAGTGGGCAATAAATAGTAACTTCTGTAATAGTAATAATTGCAGTAATAATGAATTACTGAAATAATAGGGCAATAGCATTAGAGTAATGACTCTTTAATAATGATGGTAATTATATACATAATAACGGTACAGCAGTCAGTGGCCTGGGGTGGGGGTTTTTGTCTGATTGCTTCTCCCAGTGACACATGATAATAAAAACAGTCTTGCTATGGTGAAGTGGTTCTGTCAGTTGGAGCATCACTCCATATACCAACATGTTGTGGGTTTGATTCCCAATCAGGGCCCTATGTTTTGGGTTCGGTACCTGGTTGGGGCATGTATAGGAGGCAACCAATCGATGTTTCTCTACCCCTCCCCCCAATATCAATAAAAATATATCCTTGAGTGAGGATTAAAAAAAAAATGGCAGACTCCATCAGAACTTTATTTACTTTCCATCAAGTTTTGCTACAAACCTAAAACTGCTCTGAAAAATAAGGTCAAATTGAAAAATGTTTAAAGAGGAGGAAAAAAGAATAGACGTATAAGTTGGCATTATTATTTTTCAGTTCTCTAAAGAATACACTCCTTTGTTGCTTCCACCCATTTGCACCACCCCACCCATGGTACATCACGGACAATGGTTATTTTTAAATTGGCAGTGCAGATATTCATATAAGTAGCATATTAAAGAGGCAGTCAAGCTGTTAGTCCCATGATGCTCAGTTGGCCAGTGTTGCTCTGTGTGGGATTGGTTGGTGGATGCTGGTGTAGCTGACCTCCTGGAACTGCTGGACTGAAAGCCAAAGGCGTTGGGTGTGTGGATCCCTCCACTGAGTGAGGCACCAATCAGCTCCCCTCACTGTGCGGCTGAGCAGCATGGCAATGAGAGGGCCCCCCACAGGGCATCTACCCACCCTAGCACTTAGGGAGATGTCCCCTGGTCCATAAAGGAGGGCAAGTCTTGTGCCCAATGGGTTGGCTTCCTTTCCTTTGCTTAATAAAAGGTTCTCTTTCCCCCGAGTAGGAAAATGCCCAGCTAATCAGAGAAGTGGAAGTAGACAGGGTCTCTGCGCTCTCCGAGGACCAGGTGCAGGCCATCAAGCAGCTCTGGCTGGACCCAGGAATCCAGGCGTGTTACGACAGGAGGAGGGAGTACCAGCTCTCAGACTCTGCCAAATAGTGAGTACAGACGGGCTGCCCCCAACACTCAGGGAAGCATGCTGCATGCACCTCACAGAAGCTTCCTCTGGGGAGTCTCCTCCCACCTAAAACCTCAGTCTCCCCATGGATCCCAGATTTCTCTCCTTGCCCAGACCCACCTGTCCCAGCCATGTCCTGAGCCTCTGTACTTTTCAATGAGGCAAAAGCAAGTGTGGTGTTCCCTTGGTGGAACTGATCTCATTTGGGGTGCTGAAATGATCTGACTTAGATGAGGACTGCATCTGCTTCTACCTTCTACCTTCCTCCTCTCCATACCTCTTTGCCTTCAGATTTCCTGATCAGTAGACCAAGGTCCCAATACCCTAAAATCTAAAAAATCAGAGTTTAGATCTCAATGCTATAGGCCCAGCAGATGCTGGTCATGTGCTGCCCTCTAGTGGGAAAGAGCCAGGGAGGAAGCTCAATCTGGGAGCTCTTGGTTTATTAACAACTCGCAAAGGCCTACACATTATTTTTTTGATCCATGAAGCTCAAGTTTTAAATGTTATCTTTAGGGTAAAAAGATTAGATGGGCCTGCATGCAAAGGATCCCAGGGAGATGACCAGAATTTCATTTCCTTAATTTCCTGAGGCAGTGCCTCAGCCAGACAACTCACTGGACAATCGGAAACACAATCCTTCTTCAAGAGATGATTTCTGTAGTTCTTTGCCCCTCAGCCCATGTCTTCTTCCATCTTCTGAGGGCCCCGAGGTCCTTTCCCGAGACGTACCCTTCCCTTCAGGTGCAGTCATCACCCTCGGAGCTGGAGTGGGTGGGGGATCCACTCCCATCACCTGGACCAGGCAGTGAGCAGGAGAGGAAGCTGGAGTCTTACCTTTAGGGTTGATCCTGGGCTGAATGTTTAATCCATTAATCCAGGTTCACACAACTGATCTGAGCTCAGGAACTTTTAGGTACAAAGCAGGAAAGGAAATACAAGAAGTCCCACTAAGGTGTTGGGACTTGAAGAGAGGCAAAAGGAAGGGAGACAGTATCCCAAAGAAGAGGGCAGACTGTGGGTCACAGCAACAGCCTGGTTGGCCACAGCATCCCGGCATCTCCCTGGAGAGAGTCTAGCATCACTTGCTCAGGGAAGACCCTGGGGAGGCACTCAGGCTCTTGATGTGGATCCATTTTGAAAAGACCCATTGGAGGCACCATGAAATTCAATGGGTCTCTGAAATCTTAGGCAGCAAGTATGAGAAGAGTTTTGAAAGTGACTAGCTTGGTGGACAGAGCTGCAGCAGACAGCTGCCCTGCCTTTGGAACTGGGGAGACTAGAGACATCTATACATTTTCTTGGTCCAGGTCAGCAGTTGCCGTCTGCTCTGCTGGTCACGTCTGCTTATGTGGACAGGTATGGAAAAAATGAGGTGTGCCCGCCACAGCCCTGGCGCTTTGGTGACAGTGGCAGGTACAACCAGTGCTCTCTGATGTCAAGGAACATTACTTACAGCTGTCTTGCTTCTGGTGGAACAAGACAGATATAAGTAAAAAAGAAGCACAATATGGAAGTTAGAGACGATTAGCCTTGGGGTCATGTATTGGGACACAGAGTAGTTTGCAGTAGGCTGCTGGGCTCGGAATCAGCTCTGTCATTGACCAGGGCCTGAGTTAGTTGTTTTACTAAAAAATGCCTTTTTTTAAGGCTTAAAAAAATGTTTAAGTGCCCTCTTATTTTACCTCAGAAAAATGATATATTTTAAGCTCAGGGATTTCATATATGGCAAAAATAATCCAAGACAAGTTTTGATTATATGGCAAAAATAATCCAAGACAAGTTTTGATTTATCTTAGACATTTAATTTCCCCATGTAACAAGAAAACCTTTTCTCACTATTATCCTGAACTTCCTGTTGGCCTGTTTTACTCTTTGTGTTTTCTTGGAAACCCCAGTTCACTCACAAAGTGCCGGAGAGCAGCATCTGCAGTCTATAATGTTCTTGGCTGAGGATGAGTGTGGGAGGGGAAGGCAGGCAGTTAGACTCCACCTCCTCCTCTCCGGCCAGTGATGAGCCAGATCCATAAGGAATTGATGAGCCGATCCACAGGTTTCCCTGAAGGCTCATGCGGGCTCCTGATGCACATTCCTTCTGAAACAGCCGCAGGAGGGCTGGCTCTCAGAGTCACTGATGGGCCCCAGGAATCTGAGTGGGGGTTGCTCTGAGCGGGGTGACTTCCTTGGAGTGGGATGGACACTCCTCCTTTCTGTAAAATGAGTCTCGGCACCTTGCTCTCTGATATTGCAGTTACCTGACTGATATTGACCGGATCGCCTTGCCGTCCTATGTGCCGACGCAGCAAGATGTGCTTCGTGTTCGAGTGCCCACAACTGGCATCATCGAGTATCCGTTTGACCTGGAAAACATCATCTTTCGGTAAGAATGTCTCCCTGATACATTCCATTAGGAATTTGTGCAGGTTTGGAAGTCCCCCAAAGGGTTCTTATCTTTCAGGGCACTGTACCCTCTCCATCACAGGGTTTTTAGAATTGTGGTCGGTTTCAAGTGCTACAATAGAACAGAGAGGAACCCACCTTTCCAATCACCCTGGATGCTGCCCCTTCTTCCCGTAAAGATGTGTAAGTGCCCCCTGTCCCATTTGGGAATCCAAAGTGGGAAAGATTGCAGGGTTTCAGGCAGACCTTTGCAATGTCTATAGAAGAGCATGCACTCCCGGAGGGCTAGGGGCCCCGTCTAAAGGAATGGCTGCTGCACAGTGGTTGCCAGCCGTTGGGAACAAAATGCAGGCTCACTAAGACTAGATCCTCCAATTAGATAACAAGTGTTTTAAGTGAAACAGCTGATATTTTTAATGTTAACTCAAAAGTTATTCAAAACACTACGTCGGCCAAAGAGAATACATTTACATTGCAGAAGCCTGCCTGACCCCTGGATGTAGCATTCAAGCTTAGGGTCGATCCTATGGCTGTGAGGCTCTGCAGTCTTCCCATATGGGACAAAGGGCACTTACACATCTTTACAGGGAAGAAGGGGCGGCATCCACCAATTGGAGAAAGGATTTGTGGGTAAATTAGAGGCGTGGAGACAGGAAGGAGCAAAGGCCTGGAGAAAGCTGAGTGGACCTGGAAGACTGGCGCCGTTCTACCCCTTTGGTGGCTGGTGCCCCGGCGCTCCAGTGGGTAGAGCAATGCCCAAGGGGAAGCCTGTGCTTTCTGCCTGGACAACTGTAGCTTCTGTTTTCAGTAATGTCACTTACATTCTGTCCTCCTTTGCTGGGAAACGTCTGGTGGTTCCTCAGTGTTGAAAGCAGTGGTGCTCAAACCTTTCAGTCTCAGGACCTTTTTTCACTCCTGAAGATCAGGCAGGAAGCCAAGACCTGCTGATTTCCAAGGTGGAATGAGCACGCCCTCCTCCAGAGCCATGAATCCAGCCTTTGAGACCTGTGTTTCTGTTGGACAGGATGGTAGACGTGGGTGGCCAGCGATCCGAAAGGCGGAAGTGGATCCATTGCTTTGAGAGCGTCACCTCCATCATATTCTTGGTTGCGCTGAGTGAATACGACCAGGTCCTGGCTGAGTGTGACAATGAGGTATGCCAGGTGGGGAGCATGGGGAGCTGTGGAAGACAGAGACCTATTTTTGTAGTTTGCAAAAAGCCAGCCGGCTCTGCCATTAGATTCTAAGCCTGACGTTAAATTGTTATGCTACTCAAAGTATAGTGTGTAGACTAGCAGCGCAGGCATCACCTGGATGCTAGTCCACACACTATTGTTAGAACTGTAGACCAAATACATCAGAATCTGTATTTTAGTAAGGTCCCTGGTGGTGCCCATAAACACATAAGTTTGAGGATCACTGACCTGGAAACTGGCTCTCACACTTGGGTGCCACTGGGACTCCATCGCGGAAGCCCTGTGGAAGGAGAGTGCGGCCTGAGCGGAGCATCTGATCGAATGTGCTGCCTCGGTGGAGCCTCTCAGCCCTGGAGGCACACTGAAAGCCCTCGGGGAGTTTTGAAAAAGTATCATCATTTGGACTCCACAGTAGAGGTTCCTATTGCTGGGTTGGAGTTAAAGTGTCTTTCCTAAGTCCCTAGGAATGCTAATGTGCAGTCAGAGTTGAACAATGTTACTTCTAGTAAACTTTACCTGAGAACAGGCTTCCCCACCTAGTCCCCAGCTGGGCTGGCTGTTTGGGGGCCTTCTGGAAGGGGCGAGCTGGGGTAGCTGGGATGACCCACCCCGTCAGGCTTTCAGTGCCCTCCGTAGGATACCCTTATCCTCCCATTGTCTTTCCCCCTACCTCTTGCTTCTAGGGCATGAAAGTAAATCAGTCAAGAACTCTATCCAGGATTAGGTAATAACCATGAACAAATATCATCTTGTGTTTCTTGAGAGCAGAGTTTTCTCTAAGGAGCACAGTTACATTAGTAAATGGGTTAATCCTCCACTAATTAGCTTAGAGTCATTGTGCAAACAAGAATAGAAGCCTTGGCTGCCACTCAGCTCTTCAGTAGAAAAAAAAACTTTTTTTTAAAGGAAAGTCCTCGAGTAATCAATATGAAAAATTGGCTCCAAATTTGTCTCAGGAAAAGCAAAAGATTAGTCAAGTGAACAAGAACTTTAGCCTGATGTGCTAAAACACTGAACATTTTCCCCTCTCCTAAAAACACAGGCATCTGGAGAAAAACAAAGTGGTTGCCACTCTAGACTCTTCCCTTCTGGTTGTAGACATGAGTTGCATCCTCTCGTTGTATAGTACAGGCATCATTGTTTTCATATGTTGTAGTTCCTTAGAAGTTATTATTGATAAGATCATAATAAATTTTAAAGAATCTTTAAAAGCAAGAGGGATTTCTCCTCTGGCAATAAATTCCACCATATCTTAATCCCTTAAAATATATTGAACAGGATTATGAACCTATGTTTCTGAGAGTCCTGGGAAAACAGACTTATGGCACATCCCTCTCAAGTATTTCTATCTAGCACAAATCTGCTCTCCATAAATCAGGAAGTTACTCTTTTCCTGCCAATGTCTAATGTTCAGAAATTTTACTGTCCTGCATAATTCCCACCAGGTCCTACTACTATCCAGGCTTGGGAAAGTATTTAAATGTTGTAAACAAGTATCCTTACCCAAACATTAGAGACCCTGCTCCCTGGGCAGAGCACACCGGAGCCACCTGCATGGGAGGCATGCGCTGGGCCCCTTCTCTGTGGGGAACACTGAAGAGCTAGTGTTCCTCTCATTGACCCCCGACTTCTGACACACAGTCTGAGGCCACACCCAATAGAATGGGTGCCCCAGGGCTGACTCTGAACAATCCTAATGCCGACACACAAAACTTCTGTCAAATCTGGGCAAGAACTTTCCTTTCCCACGTTGCACAAAAGCCTTTCTGATATCTTACATGTTAATTTGTAGCTAGAGTTGAGGGGTGATTAGAGAGGGTGGGGATGGGGCTGTACTCCAGCTGGGTGAGGGGGCAGAGTGATAGAACCAGTGAAGTGACTTGTGTCTCAAGTACTGCTTTTCTTTCTAGTTAACCCTAACTGCCTCTTTCCCCCCCCCTTAGAATCGCATGGAAGAGAGCAAAGCCTTATTTAAAACCATTATCACCTACCCCTGGTTTCTGAACTCATCTGTGATTTTGTTCTTAAACAAGAAGGATCTTCTGGAAGAGAAAATCATGTACTCTCATCTAATTAGCTATTTCCCAGAATACACAGGTAGGTGTCCACCATGCTGACGTCAGTCCAGAGTTCTAAGGGCTCCCAGGGACTCGATGGTCTGCCTCCAATGGACTTCCTCACTGTTCCCACCTCCACACATGCTAGCCCTTTGCTAACTCCAGTTTGTTCTCCAAGACCCAGCTCAGGCAGGCCCTCTGACCCTCACCCCCATCCCCAGCAGGTACATCACCCTTTCTCCCCAGCCGGCTCCGGAGGGCAGAGACTGTGCCTGCCTTACCATTGATTGCACGCCCAGTTGGTCAGAGCACCTGGCACTTCTGATGAGTAGGTTAAAGTGTGGCAGCTCCTTTGCAGACACAGGGTGGACACGAGGTTCCTCGTCTACATGACTAATCCAGTCCCTGTCCTACTGCTAATGATTCCTCGTCCCGGAAGTCTGACATTGATATGTAGAGGAGCAGAGCTTTAGAACTCTCCTTTTCCCTTGTACTAACTGCTTGACCATGGAGTAGAGCACCCACAGGCTTTAAAAGCAGACGTGGATGCCTAACAATGTTAGTGCCCATATTCTCCCTCTCCCCTCTCCAAGTTCACTGCTGCCCGCTGAGTTAGTAAGAGTGATCTTTTTCAAAAGTGGTTCAAGTCAGAAAGCTAAATTTGCATACTGTCCTTCAACACATTACCTTAAATACAAGTTTTAGATACCAGTTAGATGTTTTAGATACCAGTTAGATACTTTAAAGTATATTCTTTTACAGGTTCAGGATGAGATATAACTTTTTAAAAATATGCCCAGTAAAACTATTGCTTAGAACCATGGTCAGCATGTGGCTCTTCCACAAAATATCACAGCCTGGGCAAGTCTATCTTGAAGAGGTGGCATTAGAAGAAGTTCAAGTTTTAAAAAGTTGGCTCTCAAAAGAAATTTCAATCATTGTACTGTTGATATTTGGCTCTGCTGACTAATGAGTTTGCCGACCACTGTTCTAGAACTAAGATAGCTTAAGGACAAGAGGACACTGGAATTAATTTGGGGTACCTGGTGGTGAGTGGCATCTTTCTTCTTTATCCCTCTAACTGTGCTCGGAACCAGGACCGAAGCGGGACGTCAAAGCTGCCAGAGACTTTATCCTGAAGCTCTATCAGGACCAGAACCCGGACAAGGAGAAGGTCATCTACTCCCACTTCACTTGCGCCACGGACACGGAGAACATCCGCTTTGTCTTCGCTGCCGTCAAGGACACCATCCTCCAGCTGAACCTGAGGGAGTTCAACCTCGTGTAAATGCTGCTGCCCACACCTGGCCAACCAGAGACGGGACTCACCAACCCCTGGATCTCATTCCGAGAGCTTCTGACAGGCGCCGGCCCAGCCCCCTGGGCAATACCGCACCAAGTCCGCCCTGTAGGCACAGGGACAGAGATGGGCCACGGAGCTTGTAAGACATTTGAGTTTAGCAAAACTTTTTCAAAGTCTTGATTCCAAAAAAATGTTTTTATATTTCTTTTCTTGACTTTTGGCTTAAGATTTTGAGTAGTGACTGATTTGAGGTTTTATAGAATTAGAATTTTTTAAAAAGCCATCATGATTTACTTTTTTTTTAAAGAAACAAATTTAAGTGTGTTTGTTAATTTAGCGATCATGCCTTGAGACTGCTAGGATTAATTTGTGTAACTTAAGTTGAGTTTTAAGCTTTTTTTTTTTATTACAGCTTGTACTTTTGAGGCCATTTTTAATTGTTTTCCTCTCTTTATGCTGAAAAGCGTGATGCCTTTAACATGCCACCAAAGATTTTTTTAAAATGGTTATTTTTTTGTGCTTTCTAAGACAAATTAATGACTGTGTTGATATCTAACTTGATTTTCCACATTTGGATCACCATGAAGCCAAAGCTGACAGAAGGTAAATGGGCTCCAGATAGCACATATGTTATCCTGGTGAAATGTGTATGTGATCAGGTCTTATAAACTTATGAAATGGCTAAAAACCCCAACTATTTACTAGTACCAAATGTAATGTAACCCTGCCGGAGGTCTGATGGCCTTCACAGATGTGCTTCTGCACCACGTGGGCCATGCCTTTCTGAGGAGGCTAAGAATACACCATTCTGCCATTAGCGTCGTACGTTGTGTTTCTTTGAGCTCATGGTTCTGCTCCGAAAGAGAAAAATGCTGTAACCTAACAATTAACTACTCAGAAACTTCCTACGTGTCCTTGGGAGGGAGGAAAAGTAATTTTTCCCCTACCTTCTTGGTTCTGGGCTGGGACCTGTTCCTGTAATAAGAGCGATTAGCAGGAGAAGAGAGTAATACATGCATGCCTCCTGTATCCATGGGAAACACCCACTCCCTGAGAGTAGCCCAAGCCATCACCTTAATGTTGGGGGAGTGGGAAAGGCCCATTACCAGGAAAAGCACAGTAAACAGAATAGGGTTGATTCACAGATTTAAGTTGGTGCCTTCGATGAGTTTCATCTACTGTAGAGTCATCCTCTTCCAGGTACAGAGGAGACACCCTTACACATGGGATTTCTCTTATGTCAATTTTCTCTACAAAAGGGTCCCTATTTTTACATTCCAGAGTTTTTCCTATGTCTCCTGTTTCTTAAAAATAATCAGCTCAAAAAAAACAAAACCCTTATGCTGAAGCGGCATATTCTGGGGTGATGTACTCTGCTCCCTTGAAGTCTTACCTCTGAACCTTCACAGGAACCCACAGTCCAGAGGCTGAGCTAAGGGACAGCTGGGTTGTGTCCTTGGACGGGTCTCTCAATCTTGAGGTCAGTTCGGTTAAATGGCTGTGTCTCATTTCAGGAGGCGGTGTTGCAGGTGGAAGCACTCAGATATTTAGTAAGATGTGTATCTGTGGAAACAAAGGGTAATAGTTGGAGCGATTATAAACTCAGTCTGAGCCAGTCAGTAGGTTTCTAGATGAAGCATCTTTTTTAGTTTGAATGTCTCCGATGCCACCAGGCATTCTGTCAACTTTATGAGTGGCCCGCACAAGCACGGAAGTGTCCAAACAGGAGTCATTGGCATATCAGATTTCTAGGAATTTCATAAAATTTGTTCTTAGTGATTCCAAGTCAATAGAGTTGGGGTGGGGGGATTGGAAATGCTAATTTGTAGAGTTGTAGCCAGATTACCTGAGGAAACTAGAACTCAGGATCCAGCCCAGTTTACAGGTAGAAAACAAAACCTCAGACAGTTAGCAGGACTAGAATCAGACATCCCAAGATGTGTTATAGTTTCTACTGAAGCATCATTTTTCTCTCCATAATCATTATCCCTATGTTTAATTTGTTTGCGAAATAAATGCACCAAGAATAGTGACTGACCAGATACAGGCATTTAAAAATCTGCTTTGCTGGAACTTTTCATAAGGAATCTCAGATAGGACTTTTTAAAATCCTCTCAATGCTAGGAAGCCAAGGTCTTGGTCTCAAATTTCACCTGCAATAATCTATATGTCTGGGTTTCCTCTCTTCTCAAGATCTCCAATATATCCTGATGTTCCTGCACCTGCCAGAAAGTGACCATCATTTCTTACCCAATAAGGCTGACAGGAGCCCAGTAAGCAAGGTGCCAGGAAGCTTTTCCAAGGGACTCAATTAAAACTCCTTAAAACTGCCTGGTCATGCATGATTCTGTACACGTTTTCAAATATGATGTTCTAGTCAAAGTCTTGGTACTAAAACCACTGTTTTCAATTGTGTCCTTTCACAAGGAGAACAGAATCTTATTGAACTTAACACAAAAAATATGTGCTCGTGAAAACAAGAATTCATACTCAGAATTTCCTAATTCTGGGGAATCAGGTAGCTAAATAAGTAATTGTTTCATCTTGTTCACAAAGGGTTACTTACCAAATTGGTGTAAGTCACAGATGGTTTAGGAGAAAAGGAAGAAGTTTCCTTCAATCTGGAAAAACAAAACATTAAAAAAGTTATAAAAAAATATAATCCTTATTCTTTCATTCAGTCCCAGATAATAAATTTGCATTGATCTTGATATTTTGTGAGGAGTTTTACAAATCCACTTTTTCCTTAAAATATTCTTGGTTAATTCTTACCCAGTTCAATGGTATGATCTGAAAGTTATCAGAAACCTGTACTTTTCCGAGTCCTTTCCATGGATCTCCCTGAAGAAACACTTTTGCAAAAGCAAAACAATACTTTCTATAGATGGCAAAAGATTTTAAAATGCCATAAAGAGCTGAAAACATTTGGTTGTTTCTGTGACATACATTACATTTTATCATAATACCTAGAGTTACAAGTGATAACATTATACTAGGACATATCAGGGCTGGGTCCCGAGCTCCCCACCGCCCCACCCAGCTCCCTCAGCACCTGGGAGCCAGGTGGTGGCCCTAACCCCTGTAGTTATCTGTGGAGGAATCAGGCCCCCTTTGCCACATTGCCCCTTCTCCCCCCCCCCCCCCCACTCATTCCTGCCTTGGCCTGGCGCTGCCCACTCACCTGATCCACCATCCCACCTCAGTCCCGCTCTCATAGGTGTCCATCAGGGCTGGCAGCGCCTCCACTGCTGCCCACTGTCAGTGCTGCACAGCTGACACTTGCCATGCTCCACATTGCCCCTGCTGGTCAGCACACATCATAGCGAGAGGTCAAACTCCTGGTCAAGGGGACAATTTGCATATTAGGCTTTTATTATATAGGATACTTAATTACCTATTTAACCAAAGTTACACAGTCATGAGAAAAACTTAGCTCTTACTATTGAGAAGACTTGGTTTTCTTAAATAATCAAAAACTGGGTAATAAAGGTAACATGAAGCACACAATTGTTTTAGTAAACTAACACAAAATCTTTGCTTTCTTAGGCAAATTACATAAAAGTAGAAAACCCTTCATAATATTTTATCAGGAGCAGACCAACAGTAAAAGACAATCCTGTGAGCAGATGGAACAAAATAAAGTTTCAGTTTTAAATTAAGTACAATATTAATATTAAAGCTTATCTTTAAACCCTTATAATAAATTAATCCCACTTTAGCTACCTTAATAACACAAGGTTCCTTCTCTCACTTCCAAACTTTCTATAATCCATTATTTTGTCCTTTATTCTCCTTTTTGCAATTTTGAAACAGCAGGTTATATTTTGGGAAAAACTACTCTCTTTCACTTAACAAAAATTCATCTCTGTACCTAGTACATTTTTTAAACCAAAAACACATCTTACTTTCCGTGCAGAGATGTTGCCCTTACTAGTTCTACAGTTTTTATTACATATACTAATTACAATAGAATTCTCAACCTTTGAAATCTTCATTTCTATTGAAAGCCAAGAAGTTAGCAATTTTGAACTGCTACATACCAACATTATGTAGATTGGCAAATTTCTTAGCACTTCTAATTTCTAGAAGCATGTGCTTTGTTGTAGTACAATTGTTCATTGTAGCACAAGACATGTTTACTCACAGACCCAGAAAGTTTTAGTTTCTTTGTAATAAGAAGCCAAGAGTAGATGAAATTATATTCCGTAAGTCATATTTCAGTACTTTATCTTATTTGAAAGTGATCTACATATTGAATGAATTTCCATCATTTAGCAAAATTTTAAGGGTTCAAGTTACCAGAAAGATTTGGAAGCTACTTTAAAGTAGACATGTGTTTTAAAACTTCCTAATTATTTAAAGTTCATTGCACTTACATCTATTTAATTCACTTGGTCTTAAAAATCATATTTAGATTACTCCTGAAAATTTCTAAATAGTTTTTTTTTCTTCAGATGAAAAGAAAATTTGTATTTCAAAGAGTTGGCTCTCAGGTCCTAAAGAAGATGGGGGTAGAAAATTTGCATCTCAAAGCCACAACGAAAGTATCCAGTTTTCTCTAAGGAGTTTCCGTGTATTTCCTATTTGACTAATAAACCCTGGTGGTATAAAAGTTGTATGTCTGCATTATATCCAATTCTGACAAATCTAAACACATACTCATTTTATTTAAACCAACTTAATTTATAGAATACTTACTCAGATCATTATATTAGAAACCATTTGGGTAAGTTTTCTTATTTCTGAGAGTCTAGAAATACTTATCCTATCTAATAAAAGAGTAATATGCAAATTGACTGTCATTCCAACACAAGATGGCTGCCCCCATGTGGTCAAAGATCCTGCCACCATAAGATGGCCAGCAGGGGAGGGCAGTTGGGGATGATCAAGCCTACAGGGGAGGGCAGTTAGGGGTGACCAGGATGGTAGAGGAGGGAAGTTGGGGTGATCAGGCCTGCAGAGGAGGGCAGTTAGGGGTGACCAGGCCTGCAGGGGAGTGGTTAAGGGGTAATCAGGCTGGCAGGCATAAGTGGTTAGGGGCAATCAGGAAGGCAGGCAAACAGTTGGGAGCCAGCAATCCTGGATTGTGAGAGGGATGTCCAACTGCCCGATTAGGCCTGATCCCACTAAACTGGGCCTAAACAGGAAGTCGGACATCCCTAGAGGGGTCCCAGATTGGAGATGGTGCAGGCTGGGCTGAGGGACACCCCACCTCGTGCACACATTTTGTGCAACAGGCCTTTCTCTATATAAAAGGCTAAGCAACCATTACAACCAAAATGACTGGTCTACTGGTTGCTATGAAGCGCACTGACCACCAGGGGCTGCTCCCTGGTGGTCAGTGTGCCCCTATAGCCAATCTCCTGTGGCCCCTGGCCCCTCTCTCCTCCCACTGGCCAACTTATCATGGTCCCTCCCCCTGGGCCCCAATAGGGGGAGCTGGAAGGCCAACCTCCCGTGGTCCCTCCCCTGAGCCGGCAGGACCCCCACATAGGCCTCATTGGGGGGCTGGCCAGTCAACCTCCCGTGGCTCCACCTCCCTTTCCTTCTGGCCTAGCCAGCTGGCCCCAGATAAGCCTTGATTGCCAGCCAGGCTGAGGGACCCTACCCATGTGAACCAGGCCTCTAGTTTCATGTAAGTGCACGTTTTTAAGCCAAATTAATTGAACTTTCTTACAAATTAATTTTGCCATACCATCTGGAGATAGAAAAATATCACACATTGACAATATACATATATAGACATACATAAATGTATAGACAGACAAACACAGAAACCTTGTTGCTACTGTTACAAAATTTTAACCATAAATCAGGTGTGTTTCCATTATTAGATATCTAGTGTCATTACCCTTTAATTTTTTTCCTCTTCAAAGGGGCATGACAATTCTGTTAGCCGTGACCCAATCTTTTACAATGTCTACAAACATTTGAGATGGAGAGTTTTTAGAATTGGTAAGGATAGGTGGGCTCTGGATTGCTTATAGAATTGCCTTTCTGGTTTGGTAAAGATTTGTAAGACAAATACAGTTGCTTCCAATTCCTCAAAAAATTGGGTGAGCCTGAAAAATACCTTGGGGCTGACCTGCCCATCCAACTATATTATCTTCAATTGGCTTCTTTATGTGGGGAGAAAATTTTTATTCTAAAATGGAAATAAAAGAGTCCTATGTTCTGAAATTTCAGGGTGTAATGTACAATAGTATGACTACATAGGGTTTGTATAAAGCATTGAAGGCCTCCAAATGCTCTCCTTTATAAGTGTACAAATTCAACCTTGTACCAACTCACTTTAGGGGGGAAAGCCTCCATTATTGTTTCTACCAGTTCCTGAACATTGCCTTCCAGCTGATCCATTTCCTGGTGGTTTTTAGAAGGGTCTGGGAGACATTTTAATCCTCTGTTTCCTCTGTGAGGTCATTTCCCTAGGAGCTGGCTGGCTTGTCTGCTACAGTATAATCATGGGTGGGATGAACACCCCTGAGCAGCCCATCAAGGCTCCTGTGAGTGGGCTTTGAATGGCCACTGATCTCTTTTCTAAATCTTGTAGGATCTCCTGAAAGTGTAATTTCATCTTGTTATGAAAGTCCCTAAAGCTGAATGCCATACTCTTTCATGTCCTCTTCTCAACTTGTTCATTCCATAGGTACCAATAAGGCAAATGCTTAGAAAGTGAACTCTCTAAAATGTTTTTAGAAGTCTCTTCAATTTAAAGGACCCATCATCTAGCCACTGATAAATAGGATCTTCAATAGTATATTAATTTCAATAGCAACTAAAATCAATAAGCTTTTTTATGACTTAACCATGGACACAAGAGGCACCCCTAAAGAGGTTTCAAAGATGCAGCCCTCACAAGATCCAGAAAGTTCACTCCCAGAGACAAAAAGGCCCATTGTGGACTGGGACTCCATAAGACGTTGTAAACTCTCCTGAGAGCTGGCACTGTGGGACCAAGAGGATAATGCTTACCATATGGTGTGTCTCATTCCCAGCCTATTCAGTTGGGAATCGGACACACAAGCCCATACTGGCATCTCTGGCTGGTGGAGACCACAGAGTATTTTTGAACTGGTCAAAATGCCAAGCTTAAGACAGGAGGAAAACCTCATCTGGCCTATGGTTTTCCTCCTTATGACGACTCAAAAGACAGAGATAACAGAAAACTTCTCTGGGAGGAGAGGAATCAATAGAAAACAAGAGTATAATACAATCTTTACCAGAATTTATACCCAAGCGACTAGTTCATACAAATATTGTTTCCTGCTTACCTAAATTATGGGAAGAACAGGTGATTTTTTCCGTCCTCTCTCCATGGGGCAGTAGAGAGATTTGGGAGAGTGGACTTGAAGGTTGCTTCTGTAGGCTCCAGAGCAAGAGTGGCATCTCAGCGGGTCCCATCATCAGTTGCCAAACTGTAAGGAAAAATGATTTCTCCTTACCCTTTTAGATCTTGACTGAGACCCCATCCCTGCCTAATAAAAGATAGAATAGCGAAACAGGTTTGGCTCAGTAGATAGAGTGTCAGCCTGCGGACTGAAGGTCCCAGGTTAGATTCCAGTCAAAGGCATGTACCTTGGTTGCCGGCACATCCCCAGTAGGGGATGTGTAAGAGGCAGCTGATCCATGTTTCTCTCTCATTGATGTTTCTAACTCTCTCTCTCTTCCTCTCTGTAAAAAAATCAATTATATATATATATATATATATATATATATATATATATATATATATATATATATATATAGAGAGAGAGAGAGAGAGAGAGAGAGAGAGAGAGAGAGAGAGAGAGAGAGAGATATTAACAGGAGAAAAACAGAAGTTTAATAATGTACCCCTGTGTTGCTAGCCATAACTTCTTTATACATGAGAGATACCTGGGAAAATTGAGTAAATCCCTGAAAATTCCCCAAGCCATCTCCTTAAATACTTTCTTCAGCTGAAGACACAAGAAAGATGTGTGTGTGGGTGGGGGGAGGCCAGTTAAGGGAGGTTACTGGGAAAAGCATGGTAAACAAGGGTGAGGTTGGTACACAGATTTAAATTGGAGCCTTCTCCACTGGTAAGAGTTTCTTGATTTATAGTCATCTTCCTTCAGGTACAGAGAGGGAGACACCTTTATAAATGAGATTTCTCTTATAAATGTAAATTTCTCTTACAAAATGATAACATCTACTAGGTTTTCAAAGCTGTGTTTACTGTTTCTTAAAAATAATCAGCTAAAAAAATCCTTAGTCCAAAGAGGCATATTTTGGGGTGGCATATCTGTTCCTTTTCAGGACAAGCCTGTATTCATTCATCATGTTACCGTCAGAATTCCCTGAGTAGCTGCCTCAGAAAAGAAGCAGCAGAATCTCCTGGAAAGTGAAGAGTACTTCACACCAAAGGCCCAAGATATTTCTGCTTTTCACTTGAAGGTGTGCACACACACACTAGAACATCAGGTGGGGTTGAGGGTATCACACGTACAATTTCCAATCAGTCTACAAAACATACCAGATTAGTGAGGTGTGCTATGGAACAGTGTGTTGGTGTTCCCAGAACGGTTAGGGCAGCCAGGTTCTCATTCTGCTGGAGCTCTTCCAAGTGGGAGGCTATTGAAGGCAAGAGCATCAATGTTGGGAGAGACAGGATTTATGCTGATAGCAAGTGATTCTACTGTCGCAGCATTAAGCTTTATAAACTTCAGGAAATGAATGCAAATGCAAGAGTTTTTGTGAAACCTGAGAAACTGATGTAAAAGTTTTATTTGGAATAGTAAAGGCCCAGAAATAACCAGGAAAATTTGCATGAGAGAACAAATATGGGAAAGTAGCTCTTAAAAATGTCTAGAAACATAAACAAGAAGCAAGACAATGCTGGGTACAAGGAGGGGAGTAGGCACCATGCACTAAACATCATGAACTGCTTCCGATTGCCCAACTAATAGGAAAAGGGCTCAAGAGAATCAGTAATGAGGGGAATTCAAAAAATGTAAGGCACTTTCTAGCATTGAGTTATTGTTATTTTTAACTTACCTTTGGCTGACAAAGCATGCAAGAAGATGATGGCTTTCGATCACTTCTAATTGCAGGAGGGCTGTCAAATAAATCGTAACCAAAGGGAGTGAAGAATTTTCTTTAAGTAAGGAAAAGGCTGAACTCTCCATATCAGAGGTGAACTAACTATTTATGTCAATATTAATTCTGCAGGAAGAAAATTCCCTCCTAGTCCTTCTTTCAGAAGATATTCAATACTTACTGTGGAAATGAGCCATTTGAAGTTTTCTGAGGTTGAGAGGCACAGTCTTGATACTTTCAAGCTTTTGGTCAGCAACAATCATGCTGGGCTGGATGCTGTTGCTGGCTTTGACTAAAAAATCAGGAGCTTGGCAATCTATTATATGTCCACTCTTATTTAGGCTCCTCCCCCACCCCAAAGGGTAGAGTTTAGGTAGGCAAGGAAAAGATTATTGGTAATGTTTCTAGTTTGATCCAGTTAACTAAAAACAGAGGAGGGCTGAAAAATCAGAAATCTTTATTTGACTTAATTTATTTAAAAATGATATACATAATTAAACCAGGCAATCACCTGACCAAGCAATTTAATTCTACCAATAACAAGGAATAATTATTATTTAGAAAAATTAGTCATTAGTGAGCAAAGCCAACGGGAAGGGAGAAGACACCAATTTCAAAAGGAAGAACTTCACTGTAAACATTTGTGTTTATAAGCTATCTTATCAGAATACACAAAAGCAAAGTAGAGACTGTGTAACAGGCAACTGGGCCAGGAGCCCACATAAAAGGGATAAGGAACACAAGAGTGGAGGAAATACTGCAGATACAGAAATAGCTATTTAATAAACAAATTATCATCATCAATGACCATATTTTTACCAAAGAATAAGCATTCCAAAGAAGCACTGTTTGGTTAATATAAAAATAAGAAAGTTTTAAAGTGTACATTCCCTGAAAAATTCATTTTTATATGTAATATACATATTTACATCCAAAGATGACTATTTTTAAACGTCTATGACAATCAATCTATCTGACCCTGCAACAAGCCCCCCATACAATTTCTCATAGTTTGAGAGTATGGATATGAAATTATTGCCAGTGAGAACATTTCAATGTCATCTACATTTTCACTTGGATGTTTTTCAGTCCCCAAATTTGTAATCTTGGGGTAGCCAATGGGATGCTGGTGGCATGATAGCATATTGAAAAATGTTGAGGTTTTCCAACATGTTCTACTTTAAGTATGGTTATGATTATTAGACTTTTTATTATACTACTCACACAGGGTTTCTTGTTGCAAGGACACCTTAGGAGGAACATATTAAGGGAGCAGAGCAATACTAAATGAATGGTGTTCAGTGGCAGGTTGATAGAAGTCTATCATAGCAGATGTTAAACTATAATATAAAAATTTGTATAAAAAGAATTTAAACACCAACAGATAAAATTTGAAGTTATACCTCTCATATAGCTCCTTGGGTAACCCAAATTATATTTTTTTTGGAAAATGTTATAATGCTTTTAAAAAAGAACGAATCTGTTAATTTTAAAGTAAAACTTTAAAAAATGATATAAAACAATTTATTTTACCAAGGAGGCAATAAAGTGAAAATTGCTTCAAGTAAAGAAACATGAAGGAGGTCTGTAATAGTGTAGGACTGTCCTACTTTGGGCACATCACGAGAAGGAAGGATTCTTTGGAAAAAAACACTGATGCTGGGGAAAAAGAAGGCAGCAGGAAAAGAGGAAGAACAAGTAGGCAGATTGACTGCACAAAAGAAGCCATGGGCAGGAATCTACAGGAGCTGAGCAGGGCTGCCTAGGCTGTGGATATCACTCATTCAGAGTCACCATGAGGCAGAGCCAACTCAAGGGCAAGTAACACTCACATAAGATCCAGCACTTCTCAGTATGTGTGCTGAGCTGCTTTCAGGAGAGCCCTGAAACAAGTACTTCTTTATACCAATTGTGGCAGAAAAGTGATGTGGTGGGGAGGGGGGGGGGGGGAAGGGGAGAGGGGAAAGTCTGCACTAATAGCTGCACTAAAAGCCAATTATAAAAAAATGTAGATAAGAATAATAAAACATTTAACGAATTAACGCCTACTTGATTAGGTTAGCATTAGCAAGAAGGCATCATTTCAAAGGCGTGGCCAAGAGGGTAAATGGTTCCCTTGAGAATATGGAAAGGAGCTCTAAGTGATAACAGGGTAGCACCGAAGAAAATCAGGACGAATAAATTTTGTACTGAATACTGCATAAGGAATGCAGGTTATCTACATTTCCTATTTGAATCCTACAGAAATGAGGAAATCCAATTATTTTTAGCTAAATTGCATTGGCATTTTTAAGCACCCTCCAGTGAATGAGAAGTTTGGCCCCAGAAGAATGTAACCTATGTATAAACTCCTTATTTTTAAGAGCCTTTGCTACCTGTATGATGAATCTGAGAAAAGGTACTAGCAGATGAAGCAAATTCAAAGGAGAACCTCTGTCCCCACTCCTAGTAAAATGCTTGGTAGGAGAGGCTGAAATGCATCAAGTTAATATCCTGTGGCCTTTTTGGGTGCTATTTGTAGATCAAACTTTTCTATGCTTTTTTCTGGTCCCACTGCTGCCTGGTTTTACCCACCATGAAAGGAAAACATTTTATAAACCAAAACAAGAGCTATCCTTCTCTCTCTAGAGATCAAGAGCGCTCTCTGAGCTGTGGCTCTGAGCCTATCTGAGATCAGGCTCCACACAGTCCGAATGTTTCAACAATCACTGGCCAGCATGCACCTCCTATAGCAATGGCCTCCAAGGTTTTCATTTTTTAGTGTTGTTTTTTTTTTAAACTGAAATTCAGAATAGGAAATAACATTTTATATTGCAACCTAGTATACATAGTATATAGAGTATTTAACCAAAACAATATTTTGGAAACAATGATTGATCTTGCTCCATACTCTGCTCTCTTTTCTATTCCACTTTTGAAATATTCAGGGCTTGAGCTGTTAAATTGATTTCATGAACCACTAATGGGTTAAGATTTGTAGTTTGAAAAACAGTGCCCTTGAGGATGTTGGTTGATCTTGAGAAAAGGTAAAAAGTAATGGCCCTGGAACCTGAACAGATTTCTCTGAATGGTGTTGGCTGGCACACAAAACACCCATCCTGCATGGCTACTTCCATTTTCAGGGTGTTCAGCACACACCTTCCAACTCCTACCGGCAAACTGACCCAGTACCTTCTCCCAGTCTTCCTTGTACAGGGCTCTGGCTTGGCCTGAAGGGTCAATAGACTGGATAACTAAGGTGCAGAAAAGTCAGCACTGTGTCTCCTCATTGTGTACCAAACAGAAATAGGACACTATGTAGAGGATATTTCTATGGGTGCATATGTGATCACTGGGATAATAACACCGCTACTCCCATCAGGAAAAAAAAAAAAAAAATGAGAGAAATAACTGATAGAAAATGTTAAAAAAAAAAAAATTCTTACTAATTTGAGGCCACAGGATAGTTGGAATGGATTAGGGCTGTAGAGGAGAAAGGGGCAGGGAAGGGTCCAGAAAGTAATTCAGCTGTACTACACAGATGATGAGAAACACATCTCACTTGGGAAGGAACAGTTGACACACTGTAATAGGGGAGCTTTTGGAGACGTGCACATGTTCTTTGGTTCAAAAAGTATTTTGTAGAAGTGAGGAAATCACAAGCTTCTTTTTGTAACAGAAATCAACATTGTTATCTCTAATAATCACAGCTTTCTGGAGAAGAGTTGGCAGAGAACCGAACTCTGCCTTGGGTATCATACAACAACCACGGACCAGAATATATGCTGGACTAGAATTGAGGACCTGGAGCCACAGCTGACACATAATACAAAGAGAGAAATGATCTAAAACTCAGGACTTCATTCCATAGCAACTACTAAACAACAAGCTTAACATTCTCAACAAGTTTATAGAACTCAAACTACCAAACAACAAGCTTAAAGTTTTCAAATAGAAAGACATTAAGTGTAGTAAAGTATAATTCAGGACATTGTTTTCAAATATAATAAGATTATAGACTCTATAACATTAATGAAAAAGAGAATATAGAAATAAATACATAATTGTAAAGTGTTAAAAATGCTAAAAAGATGATGCATCAGATCTACTGTTTCCATAAGAACAATCTAAGACAATTGGAAAACGACTGTTCTTGACATTGTGGGTCTTTCTACTTTAGGAACATAAGAAGGGACAGGAAGTGGTGACAGGCAGAGGACTGGTGAGAGAGAGTAAGAGAAGACATTTGGAGGTTCCTCTTGGTGAGGGAACAGAAGTGGTGTACTGGCTCTGCAAAGGATGACAGTTACAGGACCCACGCCTGCTGTCCTCCTGAGGGCACCCGAAGACTCTTTTAGGCTTCTGCCCTTTATCATGGGGCAACCAAGGAGTTATGGGCCTGAATTTTTTTTTCTGAGAATAAAATCATGAAACTGGAGTAGGTAATGAGGAACTTGGCTAATGGAACTGAATGGAACTCGGGAGAGCAGTACTGCGGAGGAGGACAACCTGCTGGGATTTCTGACTACCTCTGCTCTCAGGTTTAATTCTAATATCTGCAGAATCAGAAGAGCTCAGCAACAGAGAAAATGTGTCATCAAGGGATCACACAGTATCACGTGACTTGAAATTTGTCATCTTTCGATTCAATTTATGTTCAACAAAGAAAAAATACATTCTGGAGAAAACTATTGATAATAAACAATGCATTGTTATAATAAGAGGGAAATCAATAGTAGTGAGTAGCAGGATTTGGTCAGGAATACATATAATTACGGTTTGGCATGCTGTTTATTTTAGCTTTTACAACAAAGCGAAGGGTTTGAGGAATCTGAGGAGCATTTCACAAGTCTCTAATCCAAAAACAATTTATAACAATTTCATGGCACATACAACATGCATCAAATACTCTGTATTATTTAATAATTAAATAAGACACTGTGTCACTCTTTTCATGATTCACAAACACATTCATCTTCTTTCACTTGAGAAAGCCCAATAATATTATTTTTCTAATGATTTTTGTTCTGACGAGCTATACATTTGAAATAATTATTCTCATTTGAGTAACTGTAGAGAAAGCAAACTGTAAATTTTCAATCTGTTACCAACAGGACAGGTTCCTGGGTTAGACTGTAGGGTGCATACTATATTGTGAGAGCGGTTATCTGGTCTGAAGCATAATTACTACTTAAGGTGGTGGGAATTTTGTTTATTTCATCATTGATCAGTGAGTAGAAAGTGGGTGTTGTTAAGGCTTCAGAATTTTCCTTTAAAGTGGCAATCTATCAAAAATATGAGCTGGCTAAACCATCTCCTCAGGAGATGACCTGAGAAACTATTTCTAAGGCGTCAGAGCTCTGAGGAGGGTTTTCTCTTTAGGTGTCTGACTCTCATTTTACAAGCCTTTCTCAAGATAAGGCTTGAAAGGATATTATTCAATCAGTATTAGATATAAAACAATTGTTTTTTATATCCATGCTGTGTATTTGAAGTACAGTTCAAACCTATGCTTTATAAAAATAAGGAAAATATTATCAAAATATTTATCTGTAAAAAGAACATGTTTTTAAAGAAATCACCACTAAAGTTCTCTTGATACCACTGAGGCAATGTTTGATTTGATCACTGATTTGATCACTCCCACCACTTATTCAGGGAGTTGGAAGTAAGCATGAGAGAAGTTTAAAGTGTAAACTCGGAACATTAATTTTAGTTCCATATGAAGGCTAACTATAGGCAATTTCTCCACCAGTGCAGAGAATCACTGGAGCAGATATTTAAGATTTATTTTTAAAATGTTTCTCTTATAAAATAATTAGAATTTTAACACAATGCATGATTCAAGTTAGAAAACCAGATGAGTTGAAATATTTTAATCACATAGCTGTTTTACCTGATTCTAACCGATATAAACACATATATTTTATGTACTTAAAATTACTTCTGAACTATGGTTCCCAAATAGGTTTAGGACTGTACATGGTAGAAGCTGTAAGGATTAATCACTGTGTCTTCGGGCAGTGTTCTCCATCAGAGGGTCGGGGAAGGTTCTCTTGCTTCTTCTAGCTTTGTGAGGATCCACTGTTGTGAGGAAATAAATCAACATATGCTTACTTCTATGAACTTGTAATGAAACTCAAAATGTACTGAATGGAAATATAAAAGTGGGCTTTCCAGTTTCATTAGGTATATTATCATAGCCAATAATTCAATTTATCTTGTGTAAGAGATCATTAACTCACTTAAATGGCCCAGATGGTTTAGGATCAATGGCAATGATTTTTATTTAACAGTAAGAATAATATTGTTTTAAGGTCACTGAACTGGAATGTTCATCTTTAGAATAAGAAAAGAAAAATAAACCATCCTGAGAGAAATGGTAATCTGGCAGCTGGGCTAACTCAAGCAGTGCGCAAATTACCTATGCAAAATTGCTTCCAACCTATCCCAATTCTGTGCCACAACCTTCATGATTCCATATACAGAATTCTACTGATTAAGAATAATTATATATTCTACAGTGGGTAGGAGGAGCATAGCAACATCCTTGAGCACTGCAGGTGTTCTCATAATATATCAATAGTTTTCTATTTTGAAAGGTTTGAAATCACAAAAATAAAACACATATGTAATGCAAACCTTTCTATCAATAATGTCTATAATCACTGGGCTCGTGTGACAGATAAAAGCCTTGGAGGTGACACGGATCATCCTAGTATGGTATCAGTGCTTCTTTACCTTAAGAAGAACCTAGTGGGAATAGCTCTAGGATAAGGAGAGAAAGAGAACTGACTCAGTAGCCTTTCCTGGATGTTTCCAGCAGAGCAGGAAGATTAAAAACAAACCTTCTGGAACAAAAACACATGGTGACAGAGATTGCATGGAAAACTTATTGCAGAAAAACTGAAATAGGTGGTAATGCTCTACAGCAATATGAAAGATGGCCTCAAAGTCACACTGTTATCATTCTCTGGTCTGTCTCCCTGTCCCAAACAACAGACATATCGAGGCTCTAGTCACTTTCTTCCCCTTTCAGTTATCTACTGATAGTATGGCAGTGTGGCCTTGTATCCCAATGTCTGGATAGAAAATTGCATAGCACATGCTAAATGGTCCGAGGTTACTCGTTTGGGGCCCAGATGTGAGAGTGAACTGGTAAATAGTCAACACCCAGTCAGGACCAATGCACTGTGAGGATAGGAGGCCCAGGGATTCAGTAAAGGAGCCTTGTGTTCTTATTATAAATTTCATGACACAGAGTACAATTCAGTATCATAAACAGCAACTTAGTTTGATTAACTAGGTAGATAATCAGTCCGTAATCTTCCTTTCCTTGACAGTACACCTCCTTGTAACTGCCAAAACCCCTAAAATATGCACAAGGCTTTTCAGCTCACATCATTCATATTTTTCGGCAACTGAGGTTAAACGACTTCCCCAAGGTGCCACGGTCAAGAAGGATCAGAACCTGTAATCAGACCTGGATTTTCTGTCTGCAGGTTTGGCTCCTTCTGCTAGGTGCCAGGCTATAATAATTATTTTTAAATCACCATAGCTTCACAGAGGAGAAATCTACAGTGTGGGACATCCTTTCCTGCTGGAGCTGGTAGATTAGCATTAGAATGAAACTTACTTTGTTTGACTTCTTCACAAGTATTACAGTTAGGATTTAAAATCAGATGGTGCCATTTGACATAAAAAAACAAGTAGGCGTGTTGAATTCAATCTAATGAAAAGTAGCTTTGGGGAAATATTATCTAGTCACATATATTAAAATAGTCAAAGCAAAAGAATATAACTAAAAACAAACAAAACTTTTCTGCCTTAGAAACAGTCCAGCTTCTAGGACTATGAAAAGCAAAGCTGCTGTTTATGTAAAAGATCTGTTATATTTACCCTAGCATCCTCTGCGGTCTTGAAGTTAATTATTTTTCCAAACTCTTTGGCATGGAATACAGACTTCACCCGTTCCTATAAACAGAATAAGTGACTTCATTAAAAATGAAAAACCAGTTGTAGAAATATGATAAATGGCATGTAGTTTTAAAAATTGTTGCTTCAAGTATCCATTTTACACAAATCACACACCTTAAAAAAAGAAGTCAAGAATGGGAAATCAAGAAGAATCAAAGACAAATGGAAAAAAGAAAAGACTAAACATTAACACATCCATTATTCCTAAACCTAAGTTAAAAAGCCTTAGGTGTGATGTTATAGTTAAAGCTATAAAGGGTTAAAACAAAGGATGGGAAGGAGGTAAGTCTGGGAGAAGTGCCACTGTTCTTCCCCTCCAAAAAACTTTTAGATGATTCTTGATATCTGGCCATGGAATAATGATGATTTTAGCTGAAAAATAATATACACATATGTTTAAACATATGCAAACATATGTTTATGGGGTTGTGTGCATATTTGTATGTATCCATGTAACTTCTGGCATTTTGAAGCATTCATTGAATAAGAATGTAGCTAAGTCCAAGATCCTAAATGATAGTCTTCCAAATTTTGCACTCCTTCAGGACTTTTTTTTAAAAAAAAATATATATTTTTTATTTTTTTAAATATATTTTATTGATTTTTACACAGAGAGGAATTGAGAGGGATAGAGAGTTAGAAACGTCGATGAGAGAGATACATCGACCAGCTGCCTCTTGCACACCCCCCATTGGGGATGTGCCCGCAACCAAGGTACATGCCCTTGACCAGAATCGAATCCGGGACCTTTCAGTCTGCAGGCCGACGCTCTATCACTGAGCCAAACTGATTCGGCTCCTTCAGTATTCTCTTCAGTGTCTGTAGGGAGAACTGCCTCATGTACATACTAAACATTAGAGAGACAAAAAGAAGAAATGGAATTCTTGAGGAGGAGGGTGGTATTTACCGTTATTAACTAAGGGTCTGGTCATAGAAAAGGCAAGGTGGAGGTTTTTACTAGTCTAACAATTCCTATAAGTCATTCCAATAGCCATGCAAATATAGACTCCAAAAGAAGTCAGATTCTTTTGTTAAAAAAAGAAAGAAAAAAGAATGACTGCTAATACAATGTCTAATGCCTCAAGAATAGGTAGAAGGGAGGAGAAATCAAGGGGATAAGAAGTTTATTCTTGGAAAGAGATAAAAGAAAATATGGGGAAAAGCCAGGAAAGCAGTTTGGGCTAGAACAGAAGCTAACAGCCACTCTT